GAAAGGAAACCTACACATCTTTGTATTCTTTGAGGACCCGGTTGCTATAAAACATGGCGGCATCTGTCATTTCCTTCACATAAGGGCCTGGCTTGGGGGCCTACAAGAAGAGAAAACAGAAAATAAGCCTTGCCATTTCATCAGCAGTATAACCAAGGCAACCCAATTTTTAAAAAAACAACCATTTTAATTTAACTAATTTACAGCCAAAGACCAGAAAAATGGTGCACAAGAAGCAGTTTACCAGAGAATACCGATAATATGCCAACGTGTTTACATAAAATAAGAGTATAAACAAAGCAAAAAACAGTAATAGGTGTGCAAATTCACCAGCCTTCAGCAGCACAAAAAAATTAATTCAGGCCTTTGTAATAGCAATAGGAATAGAGTAAAATTGTGCTACATTCCCGGAATTTTTAGTTGAAAATTCAGCAAGGGGGAAAAAAAACCCCAAGAAATTTTGAGTTTTGGACCAGTCTGTATGGTGAGTTAGGAGCTGTGTAACAAAGATAGAGGGAGCAGTAAAGTAAACCATAGGCCAGTGATGGCGAACCTTTTAGAGACCGAATGCCCAAACTGCAACCCAAAACCCACTTATTTGTCACCGGGTGCCAGGTGGGTGTGGCCCACTGGGTGGGCGTGACTGTGGTGGTCATGGCAGACTGGGTGGGTGTGGCCAAGGTGGGCGTGATCACCTCGATGTTGTTCATGGGGAGGGACACATGTGGGGACAGGGCTGGGGGAGATCCAGGGGGTCTCTGGCAGGTGGGGCGGTGGGCAGGAGGCTCGTCCTGCGGGGTGAGGCGAGGCAGGGCAGGGGTGCCATTGTCACAGGGCAAGGTGAGGCAGGGGTCAGGGTGGCTGCTGCCTGACACCATCGGCCCCCGCACACAGAGGCCAGCGAGCGCATGGGTGCTGGGATGCATCAGGCCACGTGGGATCTCGGCAAGTTAGCGGGCGGCTGGTTGAAGAGGGATGGTTGGCATCTCCAGGGCATGGCACGCGTGCCCACAGAGAGGGCTCTGAGTGCCGCCTCTGGCACGCGTGCCATAGGTTCGCCACCACTGCCATAGGCTACTGATCCGGGTCAGAACAGACACAGACACATGCTGCTTAAGGCAGGTGTTATTTCCTCTCTTCTGTCAGCAGCTTAAAACTGGCAATCGTAATATGAAGGATCACCCTTGAGAAACAGAAGCTCGGAGCAACTTTACACGGAGAAAGTTTTAATTCCTCAATCCTTACCATGGCAACCCAGCCTAGTGCAGGGATGCTTTCGCTAACTGTCGAGAGGTGGTTGAAGAATTTGCTGCCACGGTTCTTCTCTCTGAAGTTCTGGACCACCTGGATCTGATCCGATATTGGCTTCAACACGACGGAGAAGTTATTCTGCAATTGAAAATTAAGAGGAAACAAGAGGTGAATTATTTACGCGCCCAAATCCTCTTGCTGCTAGAGGGTTCTCCTTGATCGTAACTTTACGGCTGCCTATTCCCATTGATGCTAGTTCTCTTCCCATCTATCTTCCACTTTCTAATTAAGCAAGGAGCAGCTCATGCATAACGTTGACCCACGTCGTCTGAATTTACCATCTTGCTAGCCCTGGGTTTGTTTTAAAACAGTCCTTTGAATAAAGAACTGCTGGGTTCGTGGATTGTACGAAGACACAAATCAAGCTGCAATGATTAGGTTTTAGTTTCTGGCACAGACAGTCCTCGACTTACAATGGAGCCCAACATTTCTGTTGCTAAGCAAGGCAGTTGTTAAGTGAGTTTTGCTCCATTTTATGATCTTTTTGTGCTGTGGTTGTTAAGTGACTCACGCAGTCGTTAAGCAAATCTGGCTCCCCCCCCTTGACTTGGCATGTCAGAAGCCGGCTGGGAAGGTTACCAATGGGGATCAACATGACCCTGCTGGGACAGTGCAACTGTCGCAAATACACACCCCAGTTGCCAAGTGTCCAACTTCTGATCATGTGACCACAGGGATGCTGCGAGAGAGTCGTTAAGTCGCAGGTTGGACTAGAAGACCTCCAAGGTCCCTTCCAACTTTTTACTATTATTGTTGTTGTCAGTGTGAAAACTTATATCCCATCTTTGTTATTTTTATACACAACTCAAGAAAGTGTATAGACCTAATTCTCCTCTCTCCTCCTATTTTCCTCACAAGAACCCTGTGGGTTGGGATAAGAGAGGGGGATTGGCCCAAAGTCACCCAGCTAGCTTCCATGCCTAAGGTGGGACTAGAACTCACCGTCTCCTGGTGATTGTCCTAAAGTCACCCAGCTGGCTTTCACGGCTAAGGCGGGACAAGAACTCACAATTTCCTGCTTTCTAGCCCGGTGCCTTAACTACTAGAGCAATATTACTGTGATTCTAAAGGTTTTTCTCCACTTACTGCTATGGGCTGTTGGCACTGAGAGGCTGTCATCAGGAGAATTCTCTCGGTCATCAATCCAGCATGGACCATCTCAGCCTGAAAGAGAGGGAGAAACAGACAACCTTATGAATGAGCAGCAATGGAATTAGTGTCAACGCTGCTAACACCGGATGTTCTTGCTTTGACAACATTTGGAGATGCAGCCTTTTTCTTTCTTATGCTTTACTCTTAGAATTAGATCAGGGGTGTCAAACTCAATTTCACTGAGGGACGCATCAGCACTGTGGTTGCCATGGGGGGGGCGGATGGGTGTGGCCAGAGTGGGTGCAGCCTACTGGGTGGGCGTGGATGGAGTGGGTGTGGCCTACTGGGTGGGCGTGGCCAGTTCTACATCATTCGTGTCAAGGGTGCCTATGGGGGGCCTGCACAGGAGTGGGACAGATCTGAGGGTCTCTGGGGATGGGACCGGGGCAAGTACCAAGGCATGGTCCACCGGGGCAAGTGCCAAGATGGCCACCACAAAATTGTACATTGGCTCCCGGTCGGCCTGGGCCAGGGCCAAGGCAGCGGGGGCTGTTCCCTCACTGTTTCCAGGATGGCTTCGCAGGCCACATGAAACCACTTCGCAGGCCGCATCCGGCCCCTGGGACTTGTGTTTGACATGTCTGAATTAGATGATACTGGGGGGGGGGATAGGAGGAAGAATTTGAGGGTAGTTGACATAACAATATTGTAATAGTGTGTGAACTCAGGACTTTGGAAATAAGAGATGATAAGAAATGGCGGTTGGAGGACTGGAGGGAAAGCCTGCATTTCAAACTAATTGGAGAATGTGATTTATGACAGTTAATTAGAGGAGGGAATTGTGTTTGATACTGTGTGCTCAGGGGAGGGGAATCCAGATTTTGGCTTCGCTTATGCATGTGCCGATGCTATGCTGCTCGAATAAAGATTCTTTAAGGTAAACAATGCCTCAAAGTTCTTTGAAGAGTTTCATCTGTCGGAACCATGGCAATTAGATTGGCAAAAGAGAATTCCAAGAATGATTGACTGTATCATAAGGCGACAGGCTATATACACTATTTCTTACATTTGCATACTGCTTTACATTCAACAACCAAGGGTAATTTAAACAACGGAACAAAAAATAACATTAAAACAATATCCTCCACACACTATTAGGGCCTTATGACCAAAGGTTTGCCAGTGATGGCTAATATAAGTCAAAGCCAAAGGCCTTGAGAGGCTGTTAAGCAGCGTCCATTCAGCATATGGAGCAAACCACCGCGTAACTAAGACTGGATATGCATATTAATAAAGGCTTGAAGACATGCATATTAATAAAGGCTTGAAGAGGAGGGGAAAGGAAAGATGGGTTTTGCAAGAGAAAAAGTGAAAAAGATTTAAAAACGGATATATTGTGATTGTGCACCTAATTTCATAGGGGATGGGGAACTATTATTTTGCCTGTATTTGTTGTAAGAAGACCAGTAGTTAAAGATTCCCCCCCCATCTTTTTTCTATTTCTATTCTTTTCATGTCTTTTCTCTGATTTTAGTTTGCATTATTTTTTCAGTATTGTAAAACCGTCTAATGACAGGCATTTTTAAAACACCCATATATTGTGGAGTTCCTGGTGCTCTCTGAGCTTGTTTGCTTGCAGATGTTTCATTACCTAACTAGGTAACATCATCAGTTGCTGAGGAACTCCACAATTCAATCATGAGCTACATCTCTTCTCTTCGACTGAAAGTTAATATTTTCTGCAATTCTTCCTAAAGCTTGGAGAGAGGTATTGTAGAAATAGGTCAGTGGTGGTGTAATATGCTGGGATAATTGTAGAAAAGGAAAGGAATTTCGTTTCAATCTCATTTCAGGGGGGGGGGGGAAACCACCCAGTCCTTTGGGTAGTCTCAATGCTCCTTGCCCCACTTAAACCCACTTAGTAGCTTATTTTGTAGGGCTGCCCTGGGAATTTCTGCAGAAATATCCCCATTCTCTTATCAATGAAGGTATCTAGAAAACACAACAGCCGGATAATTTCAGCCAACTGTTCAAGAGAAGTACGTAGTATCCTTTTGCACAAAAAGAATACCCATGAAAAATAATACAGGCCAAGTTCCTATTTTTAACTCAAACTTGTTCCTCGGAAAATTGACTTTTCTATTCTAGGGAGATTTGAAGGTGGCAGGCCAGAATTATTGCAGTCTTCAGAATCTAAACATTTCTTCCTTTGTAGTCTCTGGCCACAGACGTTTTAGAACTTCCAAAGTATTGCCAACACACACACACACACACACACCCCAAGTGTGTGAATGGAGTCTACATGGTCTCCCTTCACCATTTATTGTGTGAGCTTGACCATACCACCTCCGTTTCTGGGCAAAAAGCCCATTAGCCTCAATTGATTGCCTGCCAAAGATATCAAGGGTGGTGTATTTATGTCCACTCAAAATAGGAAACAGGAAGGAAGCATGAGTCATACATGTTTTTGGACTTCGCTGCCAATTTCTCTGCTGATCTTCATGTATGCAGCCACTGGACCTGCCAAGAGCTCGTCAAAAGCTTGCACAAACTCAGCAACTCCTGCAGAAGGAAAAGAAGCAGGTGAGAACTTGTGGGTGACACCTGGGGCTGTCGCAAATCGAATATGCCGCCAGACCTTGAGCTGCATTAATGCCATAGATAACAATCTCCAAAAGGGGCTTCAATGTGTAAATGCAGCAACACCCTTTAAAGCAGCTGTGTCTCTTTCCCAGGCTCATGCATGTCATCCCGGGAAAACTGCAGCTGGTTTTAAGGGGTACAAACAGACACCAGGGTTGTTATGTTTTGAGAACAGGAGGAGTTGGGAAGGAGAGTGAATTTGCTTACTAGGGCTGGGCAGCTGCTTTGGAGTTAATCTCCGAAAGATAATTTGGAGTGCAAACTACCTTTGGGAGATTAACGCCAAAGCGCTGCCCAACCTTAGCAAGCAAATTCACTCTCCTTTCCAATTATTTCTACTCCTAAAACATATATTTTCTTTCCTAAATATGGTGCCCTCCGAGCTTGCCAAGACTACAGTCCACTCCGCCAGAGGTTCTAGCCATGTGGTTGGAGAACATGCACGCTTTCACAGGGTGCCCTATTTATAGGCAGTCTTTTTCAGCGGGTGAACACGTTAGGATTGCTGAGAGCATGTTGTGGGTGCTCTCACAAAAGACCTGCCATGTGGGCCTGGCCAATTGCCAAGGAACTCCTCCTCCTCCTCCTCCTGGCTGCCTCACAGGCCTCCCACTAGTTCAATTCATCATCATTTGAAACTGAATGCAGATGCTACATGCTGACATTTTGCAGCATGCCGGCTTCTCTTTCTTTAATTAGGAAAAAGGAAATCAAAGAACAAACGTTCTGATACTAGAAGCACGCTGTACCGCTGGGTGCTTAAAAAGGAGGCAAGGGCACCCCAACAGGGCTGTTGTTGTGGGGGAAATAGGAAGAGGAGGAAGGAGTATAATGTATGTTCGCTGCCTTGTGGCATATAAAACCATACTGACATGTGGCAACCGAAAATGAAGCAAAGAAGGCTGTAATCAGGTGAAGGTTGACACCTTGGGTATAAAAGTAGTAAAGGTGAGATGAAAAATGGGAGGGAGGGGGGGAGGGAGGGAGGGAGGGAGGGAGGAAGGGACTGCTCTATAACGCTATTATATACATTTTTGAACTCTGGTGCTGGAGAAGACTCCTGCGAATCCCCTGGACTGCAAGGCGATCAAACCGGTCAGTCCTAGAGGAGATCAACCCCGACTGCTCTTTAGAAGGCCAGATCCTGAAGTTGAAACTCAAGTACTTTGGCCACCTAATGAGAAGGAAGGACTCACTGGAGAAGAGCCTGATGCTGGGAAAGACGGAGGGCAAGAGAAGAAGGGGACGACAGAGAATGAGGTGGCTGGATGGAGTCCCTGAAGCAGTAGGCGTGAGCTTAAAGGGACTCCAGAAGATGGTAGAGGACAGGAAGGCCTGGAGGAACATTGTCCATGGGGTCACGGTGGGTCGGACACGACTTCGCAACTAACAACAACAATACATTTTTGATTTAGAGCTGGCGAGACTTGCTGTGCAGAGAAGGGAAAGTGAGCTGCTAATCTGGTTCACACAGACAGAGGCAGAGGCACACGCTGCCCAAATATGCTCAGGGGACAGGAGTAGAGTCAGCCTCTTGGAATATCAAAGGATATCATTTGGCACAGGGAGCTTACCTTTTGGGGGGCTGTCCCCATGGCTGCCGTGCACGCCAGGACCACGAGACACCATCTCCAGTCGCCCCACGGCTTTCTCCAGTCGTTCAACAAGGCTTTGCAGCTCTGTCATCTTTCAGCACCTGCTAAATTTGAGCATGCCGTTAGGAGGAAGCTAATGCAGCTTGCACCGAATCCTATTTCCTTTCAGGGCCTTTTTCTAACAGCCTGAGAGCAAAAAACGGAAAGGAAGCTTATTTACAGAATACTGCAAAAAAATAAAAAAAAATAAAATCCCTCTCCACTGAAACCAAGGCCAGAGCCGGAATACAATATCCATCGCTCAGCAATTGAGGCCTTTGAACTCTGGTGCTGGAGAAGACTCCTGCGAGTCCCCTGGACTGCAAGGCGATCAAACCGGTCAGTCCTAGAGGAGATCAACCCCGACTGCTCTTTAGAAGGCCAGATCCTGAAGTTGAAACTCAAGTCCTTTGGCCACCTAATGAGAAGGAAGGACTCACTGGAGAAGAGCCTGATGCTGGGAAAGATGGAGGGCAAGAGAAGAAGGGGATGACAGAGAATGAGGTGGCTGGATGGAGTCACTGAAGCAGGAGGCGTGAGCTTAAATGGACTCCAGAAGATGATAGAGGACAGGAAGACCTGGAGGGACGTTGGGGTCCATGAAGCCGCGATGGGTCGGACACGACTTCGCAACTAACAACAACAAACATGTGGGTGAACCCAGCCAATGTTCTACATGTGAGGGGCTGCAGCCTTTCTCTTGGAAACACAATAAAAACTAAACACGTGGAAGTAGTCGGAACATTTTAATCTCTAATCCCCTTGTCCTTGCAGAGGTATCCGCCAATCTCTTCTGTATTTATTCTAATGTTTTAGCCTGGCTGGGGATTGTCCGTTGCTGAGTTTGTATTTAGACACTTACAAGTTGTGGGTGTTTTGTCTTTCTTATCCCACACGAGTACTCGCCTCCACAATCACCACAAACGCTGATCTTAATTGGCTTTCAATCAGACTTTTAAACCATGGGGAGCATTTGAACTTTGAGCAGATTTGGAGATTCAGTTATGTGTGGGTTGGAAACTGTACATGGTCTTCAAGTAGCAAGCTGGGGTGTGGGGGGGGGAAAGCTCCACACTGGGTCATACTAGGACAACGATTAAATGTCATTTTAAATGGAACGTGATTAACATAAAATAAAAAAAACAACTTTCTGGCAGGCTGCAATTTGGAAGAAGTACTTTGGGCCCCGAGCTAGTTCAGATTCTCTCTCCTATTCATCAGAGATGCTGGCTTTAAGAATCTCCTTGATTTAAAAGTCTCCTTGATCCTAATGAATGGATTCCATATGCATATGCCCATGTGGGCATATAATTTTATTAACAGCCTGGAATACAATAACAATTTAATACAAGTCAAAGAAAAAGAGTAAAAAGTAAATAGTGCAAAAAAACCCCAACTCCAATAGAAAAGGAAGAAAACACGCAAGTGACTTTCAACCTTCACCATAAATATAAACAACTGTAATGACTCTCAAAGGTTGCAAACATTTACCGCTTCATCTCCCATCCAATCTCCTTATCTAGAAACAAATCCATAAAACATCATCTTTTCTGTCCCGATGTCAGCAGAAACTCCGTAAAGGATTGCCAGAAGAACGTACCTTGTTTTAACCTTGATCAGAAAATCTAACTTTATATTCCTTCCTTTGACTTCTAACATTCTTAATTGCTGCAGGATCTGATTCCTTAAGGCCAGGGGTAGGCAACTTTGGCTCTTTTATGACTCATGGACTTCAACTCCCAGAATTCCTCAGCTAGTCATGCTGAGGGGAAAGGGAGAGGTTTCCATGCTGAGCCATGCTGGCTCAGGAATTCTGGGAGTTGAAGTCCACAAGTCTTAAAAGTTGCCAAGTTTGAAGACCCCTGACCTAGAACAGGGATAGGCAACCTTGGCTCTTTTATGACTCGTGGACTTCAACTCCCAGAATTCCTGAGCCAGCATAAAGGAAACTTTGGCCCCTTCATGACTCATGGACTTCAACTCCCAGAATTCCTGAGCCAGCCACACTGAGGGGAAAGGGAGAGGTTTCCAAGCTCAGCCATGCTGGCTCAGGGATTCTGGGAGTTGAAGTCCACGAGTCACAAAAGAGCCAAGGTTGCCTACCCCTGCCTTAAGGAAACAGCCTTGTTCTTTCAGCACACAGCAAAGCCAGGAGAAGGTCATGGTTGGGCTCCTTTAATGGAGAGTAGAGGAAAGTTGCACAAACACAAGGCCCAAAGCACAACTTCCAAATTGGAGCAATGGTTTTAGCTAAATTAGCCCACCAGGCTTAGGGTGGGCATGTGCCAAGATAAGCAGGTGTCCAAGATAACAAACAAAAGCACCCCTGTTTGCTTTCCTACCCAACCTTATATGAAATAATGGATGGATGCACCTCAATTTTGAAAGCTATCTTCCTCAGGGGAGGACAAAACCTACTTTTATCTTTATAAATGGGAGGTCCTTTACAGTCCTCATCCCATCCGTCTCTTCATTTTACGGAAATGCCAGCTACTTTTTTCCACTGGTTAAGCCATCTGATCAATGGATTACTGCTCTCGCTTGGAACAGGAATCACGGCTCTAGTCAAAATGAACCTTCTATTGGTTGGATCTGAAAATGATGTTGGATCCACTGTCGCCAATTGCAACTCGGTGCCCCAAAAGCTGCTTGGGTGTCCTTAGAAAGACTTCAGACCTTTTCAGACTTTAAATTCCAGGCAGATACAATGCACTGTAAATTTTGTGGGATGCTTACGGTAGTTAGCCCATAAAGGCCTGTCAAGAGACTGCTGCGGTAGGGCCTGAGGCAGCTACTAACGCGATACAAAGGATGACAATGCAGTCCTACGCAGCCTTAATCACTGTGAGAGAGGGCTCTGCACATCTCAGGCTCTACAAGAAAGAATGTTACAACAGGGTAGCACAAATGTGTTGGTGACCCAAGGGTCTCAGCCCAGCAACACATTTGTGGACTGCACTTGAAGGAATAAATGACAGTACAGGTAGTCCTCAACTTACAACTGTTTGTTCAGTGACTGTTCAAAGTTACAAGAGGACTGAAAAAAGTGACTTATGTCCAGTTCTCACAGGACTGTTGCATCATTAAAATTTGGGCACTTGGCAACTGGCATGTACTTATGACAGTTGTATTGTCCCAGAGTCATGTGATCACCATTTGCCACCTTCCCAGTCAGCTCTGGGAACAAACAGTTCAATGGGGGAAACAGTTCAATGGGGGAAACAGTTCAATGGGGGAAACCAGATTCACTTAAGGGACTCATGATTCACTTTACGGCACTGATTCACTTAACAGCCATGGGAAAAGATCACAAAATGCGACACAACTCACTTAACTGCCTTGCTTAGCAGGAAAAAAGTTGGGCTCAATGGTGATCATGAATTGAGGACTACCTGTATAGCTCAGTGCAGGGGTAGGCAACCTTGGCTCTTTTATGACTCGTGGACTTCAACTCCCAGAATTCCTGCGCCAGTCATGCTGAGGGGAAAGGGAGAGGTTTCCAAGTTGAGCCATGCTGGCTCAGGAATTCTGGGAGTTGAAGTCCACGAGTCATGAAGGGGCCATAGTTTCCCCCCCATGCTGACTCAGGAATTCTGGGAGTTGAAGTCCACGAGTCATAAAAGAACCAAGGTTGCCTACCCTTATCCTAGGACAAAGATTAAGAGCCGGGGTCTTCAAACGTGGCCCTTTTATGACTCGTGGACTTCAACTCCCAGAATTCCTGAGCCAGCCCTGCTGAGGGGAAAGGGAGAGGTTTCCAAGTTGAGCCATGCTGGCTCAGGAATTCTGGGAGTTGAAGTCCACGAGTCATAAAAGAGCCAAGATTGCCTACCCCTGCCTCAGTGTGAGATTGGCTTAACAAAGCACACCAAGACAACGCCTGGCTCCAGTACTGAACTGCAAGCTACTCAATCCCATTGCAGCCTAGTTTAGTGCGTTATGCATATCCACCCAATAAGGAAGCAACAGTTGCCTGAAGCAACACTTTGCTTCCAAGTCACCACACATGCCTCAAAGAGGAAGGACGCTTCCTCATTCCTGTAACAGAAAACTCTTTAACTTCCTCTTTGCAGAAAAAGCATTGATCCTGGGTGTGCTAATGAATTCAGAAAAAGTTCCTTTTCACTAAGCTTTAGCTACCACCTTATTCCCAAGCTTTTCCATTAAACTTTGCCGGTTCTTTGCCAGAGCATTTGGGGATATGGAATATTTACAGAATTGATGGATAGCTGCTGTTAGGCAAGGGGATCTTTCCTCCAACTAAGAGGATTACACAACTTCAGAGTTTCTACCCTCATGCAGGAAACTGGAATGGAAAACTAGGATACATTTTCCAGAACCAAAGCAATTTGCTCGTTAAATGGAAGATAAGGTATGTCATAACCAAAGGGAGGGACCAGGAAGAGTAGATCAGCTTTTCAATCATTCACAGCAAACTTTGGTAGTACAATGGAATTTTTTTGGGGGGAGAAATTTGACTATGCAAAATATAAAATGTCCCCCTAACCACATGAACCTATTATTTACGCCATAATGTCTTGTCTGGCTGTATTCTATGTACACAGACATTCTGATTTGTAAACTACCATTTCTGGCTTAGTTGCACAATGTCTGGAAGTTCATGCAAGACTTAAGGCACCCAAAATAATTTCAAAAAGAAAGACCACAGTCATTGGTCTTGCTCATTCGAAGGAAACTCTACAAAATGCCAAAGAGAAGCGGTTGGCTGCACTCCTTTGCGTTCTTTGCCTCGCAGCAATTTGTGAACCCAGACAATTAAGGACTGTTCAACAGAGCATGCTTTAGCATGCAACACTGTGCGATGCCATAGTTGATTATTATATCCCATCTTTATTTTATGCAACCCACGACAGCTGAATTCCAGTGTACTGAACCAAAAACAATCAAATCATATTTTGACTGAGTGCAATGTACATACCCAATCATGGGTGGCTTTCTTTTTTTAAAAAACATGGCAGTGACTAAATTTCAGCTTAATTGCCTCAAACAAAATTGGACTGTTGAAACAACCCCACCCACACACAATCGGCTGTGT